TATAATTAAATACATTTCAAATTGCATCAGAAATTGTGTAGGCGAGGTAGCTTTTTTAGTATACTTTGATTCACTTAGTGTAAAGGATTTCATTCCCAATTTGTGTAAGATGGAAGTGTTGCTGCTATTGAACTGCTATTTTCTTAGTTAAATAGACAGCTGACCTACCTAGTAGTAATTTGCTGTTGAAATTTATTCAACGCATAAGTAATTCGTTGGTTTTCTATATCAATACTTGAAATAAGAAGTTTTCAGACAAACTGAACCATCATCGAAGCTAAAAGACAAACTGGATCATAATCGAAACTAAAAAGGCTACATAGTCCATAGTTTTTTCATTAGGTGTTTTCGTGGTTTTCCCCATGTATAACCTGTATACGAGCAAGTTTCTCTTTGAAAGTCCTCCACGAAGGCATCCCTCCCCTTAGGCAGAGAGCCCTCGAGGCTTTGCCGTAATTAAATAACCTAAACCTAAGTCCATAGTTTCCCTTGCGCTACGTTATGACCAACAACGAATAACTGGCAGCTTTGCTTAGAAGAATTTACAGTGCTTTATAGTTCTTCATTTGACAATGACTGTATTCAAACAATAACTGATAACTTTAAGTATTCTGCTACTGCTATTTGATATAGATAATGATAATTTAAAAAAGCGTTATTCTTTTATGGCAGTTTCATTATTGCAGCATTCTATATTATTAAAAGTTTAAAAAAAATAAAAAATGATCAATAAATTCCTTTTGTGTTTTTAAATCGCCCAGTTTGTTAATAAAATTTGTTAACTGGCAACATTTATCGGTTGTCTTTGATGATAGAGAGGCCCTAAACAACATGGAACCATGAACGGAATTTCTTCCGCTCTAAATAAGAATGTTTAAAGTGTGAAGACACCAGGTCTTTAAAATATATTGGAAATTAAAAAGTAACTAAGTACAATAGTTTAAACGTCAAGAATCATAAAGGAAGGCAAATGCTGCCATCTATACAGTATTTGATTTAATTGCCGTTAATAGTTTTAATAATAATCCCCAGATTATAAATTCCATTCAATTAAATTTTAGTTGAATTTCTTTATTGTGTTCACCTATTGTTGCTATTCACTCAATTTGAATTTCATTTCAGAAACAAAAACTCTGGATACTTTTTGCAAAAAGTATCCAGAGGTTCTGGATACCAAAAAGTCATTTTGGGTAATCTGTTAATAACATCATTAAAACTGGCTAAGAAAATGGAAAAGATATTTTGATACAGCAGGCGAAAGAAAAAGTAACTTCGCAAAGGATTCTTCATATTATTCCATCTTCTTTAAACGCATGTGAATTGCTTCTGTGCTTTAATATTCTGTTTTAGTTTAAACTCATAATTCTGGATTATATATATATATATATACAAGATGTTCAAACTAGGAAATCATGTTGATTTATTATTTAGGTAATGTTATAAGGAATTAACGAATCTCTACTCGTGAGCTCTCGTTGTATAAGTGATATTTCTAACACTTTTGCATACCCAGCTAGCATTTAGAAGGTCATTGTTTCGGATTTTGTCAAAATGCAGTCTTTTTCTCTTTTTCTTTTTTTTTCCCCCCAAAAAAAATTTTATTGGCCTCCATAAATTTACTTTGCTCAGAGGAAAACATAACAGAGTAGTTACGGTAATTCTTACTCTAAAATGTGAATTATTATTATTATTATTATTTAATTTTGACGGAAGAATAAAAAAAATGCAGAGCGTTATTCGAAACTTTATGTTTTTTAAACTCTCTATCATCATGCAAGTGTTAACTTGCTGAAATACTTTTTCCTTTAATTTCTTCTATAATCTACTAGTTATAGCAATAGATTTTGAATAATAATAAAATTAATTCAGAAAATATACTTTTCCCTTATTTACAAAATAAATTTCATGATTTTAATATATTTCATTCATGAAATTTAGTTCAAAATCTGCATTAATCCTAATATCATGTATTATGCAAGTAATAATTCGTAATTTGTGTAGTAAGAAAAGTCAGCCTATATTATGAAAGCTGTTATTATGAAAATAATAATTAATAAATTGTGTAATAATGGAAACTTTCAGTTATTAGGTTCACAGCAAATACTAGCAGGAACAGATGAGAGAAATGGTTAAAAATATTATGATTCTGTATCGTAGGAGATTTATGGTTCATAAATTTTATTATATGCATTTATATGTGCTATATATACGTCTGAGTTTCTAGAAGTTTAAAAAGATTAATATTATACACAAATTTAAGCAAAAGAGATGCTCATATGAGCTGAAAATTAGAAATTTTTTAAAAGAAAGATCAGTAATTTATTTGTCTCTGAACACATGACAAAGTTTCAAATACATTTTTCTTGAAATAACATTTTTACAGATTCTTGCATTTGGCGTCATACCAACAATATATTTTCAGTCGTTTACACATTTGGCGTACTACGCATTGTATGTATATATATGATAATTCAGGAAGATTTATTTTGTACTGTTACTGATGTCGTAGGATCATTACAATATACTAATCTCAGTAACTGGCAAAAATTCAGTTTTTTAAACATTATTATTTTCCACTAAAATAATGTATATTTCTCTAAACGTTACATGTCCCACATGAGTTTAGCGACAGGATTGTTAGATATCTCTTATACCAAGATGTGTTTTTATAGTTCTTTTAAACATTACCCAAATCTGTCGCCAAAGAAATTGATATGTTGTTCAGTATTAAATTATCGAAGCTAATACCCATTTATAAACAAATAGCAAACAAGTACAGTAAAAACAATAAACAAAAAGCATTCTTTTTATTGCTTCTGAGAAAAGAATAGGATATCATGTAAACTAATAAAGTTAAATCACAGAAAAACCACAAACTCATTTCTTATGTAAATTCTTAGTTTCTGTACGGCCTTCAGGGATCATTATTATACCAGATATCTTTGCATGCCTAAATCGTTAAGTAGCTGACTCACTATGAAACTCAGGTACAGTTTTTTAAAGCGAGAGTCTTTACATTTTAGAATAATAAGAAACAAAGAAAATGTACGAAACATTAGCATTCTATGAAAATTACTTTATGAAATTGCTGCTATTAGTTTGTTTATTATACTTTTCTGCTGTAGTTCTCAATGTAATCTGAAGCCACATCAAAGCTGAACGCAGTCGTATAGAGCTTAAACAATAAATTAAGGTGTTCTCTTCCTTAGTAACTAATATTTTATACTTATGATGAAAACTATTTCTCTTGTCTTTAGGGTAAGTAACTTCAGTTTTAAATAAATAAAATTAAAATAATTCTTGCGTTTCAATATATAATAAAATAACAGTACCGCACTAACCGTAATTATGAAAGGCTTTTGCCATATTCAAGAAAATTTTCGGAATTTTTGGAAAAAAAAAAAAAAAAAAAAAAAAGCTGCGTTATTTCTTTATATCAATTACAGTTGTGACTGAAAATAAAAATTCTGTTTTATGCCTTATCCATGGTAATACACGATTCTAGATTCCCGCATTATGATACGTTCATATTTAAAAAGTAGCTATTTTTTAATTCCCTATCCTCGATTGGATAGACGTAATCATGAAAATATTTACATTATTGAAATAATAAAATTAATTATGACAGCATATTTTCATAACAAAACAATAGTATATATTATAATTTATAACCATATGAGCAAATGCATTACGCCAAATCATGAATGGGCCAACTGCTTTAAAGATGGTAGTTTTCCCGGAAACATTTTTCGAGAATTCAACAGGTTTTCTTTGAATCATTATTTCGAAAAACCCACAAAACTTCCATTTACTCGAGCGGAAAAGAAATATTTTAATGGTTTTCCTCTAGATAAAGAGGGGTTTGAACCACTTACAAAGCCGAAGGAAAAAGTTAAGGTACTGTTACGAAAAGATCCAGCTTCAATACAGTGATGATAATGACACAGCCATTCCAAACAGATATTTATAACGATGAACTGCCATTCTTAGAGCTTGTGCCCACCAAAACAAATGCACATTCCATAATATATGTAAGAACTTTTTAAAACGTATATTTAATCTTTTGAGTACATTATAAAATTATGTATAGTTTCAGTTCCCAAATTTGGAATATATGAGCCTTTATGCTATATATTACGCTATTCAAGATAAGAGACTTTATACTGTTCAAGTGTTAGTTAATGGATTCGTGAATTTTTGTCTTTTAAATTCTCCATATGCTTTTAAGTATCCAAATAGGGCCACAGTATTTTTTGGTACTTCCCTGTATTACTGACGAAAATGCGTATCGTATTATAAGCCGTTTTTTTCCTCCTTTCCACATTCCCTCGTGGTGTAACTGGAGCCTCACTCGATGCATATTCTAGAGGTCCAGAGTTCGAATCACAGCGAGGACAGTAACCATTTCTCACGTCTCCAGCCTTAGATAAGCTAATGACTCTACAATGTATTTTTTCAGGGCTTTAAACTTAAATCCGTTTCCACCTAATGCATATTAACTATATGTTATTGTGTTTAGCTAAGATTTGCTTCGGAAACTATGTAAAATGGCTATTATATAATCTAAAATGGAATAAAAATTATTTTTATTCCATGTATAGACTATATTATCTATCAAAGATAAAGAAAAACAAATTTTGTATTTAAATTATATTAAAAACTCGGAAGTTTTTAAAAGAGAACAAAAGGAATACATGTCTAGAATTACTAAATGTCAAGATTGCGTTTTTCTCTTCCTTTATCGGTATAAGCAGATAGCAATGGAGAGTAAAGCAACTAATGAGAGTTATAAAATTATATTACACTGCGAATTATTTCATTTAATTCGGTATTTTTATTAACTCAAAATTATCTTACTAAATTCGTAGCAGATTATTTTTGTAATGCTGAGCTAAAATATTTAAGTTAATTAATGATTCCCCAGTTCCAGACTTTTCTACATTTCCAAAACATCTCACGTTCTTATGCAGGAACTACCGCATGGGGCTTAAGTACTTGATATAAGAGTGGAGTGTGAAAAATTGGCGACTTCATTTGGCGACTGGGGAAAGCCCTCGGTAACCCTATTTTAGCTTCTCCCTTTTCGCCGCTGGCTCGGCGCCGGCCGACCGTGCTTGGGAAACCAAATCCGCAGATCCGTTCCCCCCGGTCGCTACACTCTTCTTTATCCGGATACCAAGGAAGGGTCCCGTGAAACAAGAACTCCTGGGTAAGTGCTTGAGACTTCTATTTACTGCTTATCTTAACTTATTTCTAGATAGAATCAATACATACCATCTCCAACGCAGCATGCGATAACCGGAGATGCTTAGGGAACATGGTGGGACAGTTTTCAAGTTTTAGCAAACTTGCTCCTGTTTGGAAGATGGTAAGGACCAGTTCGGGTTGGTTGATACAAAAGTGTTGGTATAGAGTGGAGAAGGTATAGTTGTTGTTTCAGATTATTAAACAGAAAAAAAACCTTTGAATTTTAAAATGTTATGTAAGTTTTATTATTTTATAAGATACTAGAGTGTATTTTTGGAGACTCCTTTATAGTATCGATTTCATTAAATGTTCCCGAATTCAAGCATTCATTCAGTGGGTCATGAAACTGTTGGATATGATGATTGCTGAGATAAATGATTCAGGAACTTCATGAAATTCCTTCTTCTTAAATAATAAATTACGACACCCATGGATGTTTTATTTAAAATGCATTTACAGTTAATTTTATCATTTATGTAAAAATACAAAATGCTTACAGTAACAAATTTCTCTACATCAGTTTTTTAAACTATCTGTATCAGAACATGTTAAGCATTAAATTGCGAAAGAGTGAATAATGATGTCTTAATGCACTTACTTGTAGCACCTAATACTGCACAATAATTCAACTTTTACAAAATGATATTAACATCTTTTAAATAAATGCTAATGTAACAGGTATTGAAAAGAATTCTGATAATATTAAACTGCTTAAAAGGAACACTAAGGGGAAAAAAGAAATATAAGCTAAAATATTTTCATATTTTTAAGCATTTTGTAAAACTTATGTATATATTTCTTTTCATTGCATTTCCTTTCATGTATTTTTATGAAATATTTAACAAAATTGCATTTTAAAATTTCTATAGCAACAAATTATCCTTTAGGCTCAGTGTTTAGGCAATTTTTAATAGACATAAAGTTTAATAAATTTAAAACAACCATAAAACTGATAAAAAGATTAAACAAATCTTGTATTACTCAAAATGATATTTTAAAGACAATTTTATTTTGCATGTAATGTCTGAAAACTGAATATTTTTCTAAACTTCTAACTCATAATGTACTTGAATTTACTGTCGCATTTTCTTAATTGTCCCTTATAGAAATTTGTTTTAGTTTTAATTGAAACAAAAAGAATAACATATTGTTGATTAATAGTATAACATAATGAGCACAGTTCATTAGGTAGTTTTACAGGAATATTAATTTTGAATAACGTAGTCTACCACTCGAATATGGACATCTGGAAGTTCCAATCTGGAATTTGTTTTAATATCTATCTCACATATTGTAAAACGTAACAAATGTTTGATTAACAATCTCAATGATTTCAAAGTGAGCAATGGCGAAACTGCACGGAAAATTTAAAAAAAAAAAAAAAAAATATTTTCAGCGCGAGAGATTGTGTATCGGAAATTCTAAAGATGTGATTTTTTTTAATATTTTGTGATACTGCTGTTGAAGTGAATTTTACGGCTTAAGTGCGAAGTACATGATATTTAATAAATAAAGATAACACATAAAACATTAAAAACCGCCTCTTTGGGCGCAATATAAAATCTGAAAGCTTTCAGATTTTTATTTATTTATTTATTGACATTTTGGTTTTGTGAAATAGTTATACTAGCGAAAACTATAAATTTTATACTAATTATTGCTTTATTTATGATATAGATTGGATTGGATTATTTGATTATGGTAAAGCACACGAGGGCTATCTGCCTAAAGGAAGGGATGCCTTCGTGGAGGACTTTTAAGGGAAACTGGCTCGTATATACGCTACACATGGGAAAAACCACGAAAACGCCCATGCAGCCAGCCCGTTCGCGGGATTTGAACCTCGGACCGAACTACCAGTGTTCAGCTTCTTTACTGTTCGGCGCTGGTGGGCTTTATTTATAATATGAAAATTTTATTTAAATTTGAAATTTTAATGATAGAAGTTGGCATACTACCAGTTCATTATAATCACATCAATTTCCTTTTATGCGTACAAAGCTGATACGCATTTTTTCACATATGTGAAATGGTCTGCTTTTTTCTGTGCTACAACTCATAGATTTATTATTAAGTTCTTACCATTAATATTTTTATCACTTTCTAGATACATTTGAGCAGAATCCAGTTAAATGGAGAAATTAATTTTATACTGGCAAAAATCCAGATCGTTTGTGTAAGTTTTGATTTGATCGTTAAGCGGTTCTTAAAGAACTGTCTGTTTTTTTAACACATTGCTTTGTACTCTAAAAGAACATATACCATGAAATATAAATTAATTTGCTTTTAAACACACAAAACTTCCTTATAATATTTTAGGTCTATTAGTGATAATGTTGAAATCTAAATTCCTCATTAAAGAAGTTATGCTCATATTTTGCTTATAGTTTAAATTATGTAGAGACTTATTATAATAATGTTGAAAGGATTTTTAGTACTTAGTAACGGGTGTATTTTCTTATAAATAAAGAAAATACAACCGTTACTTTTAATGTAAGCATTATACACATGGTTTCATTCTCAAATTATTTAAGAAATTATTAGATTTAAAATGGATTGCATATAATTGCATATAACAATTTCAGCCCTTTTCATTTCAAAAGCAGTTTAAAAGAAAGCGAAGAAATGCATCATTAAGTTCAAAACTAAAATGGGTTCGCTTCGCATCGAAGCAAAGTTTGCTACTTTTAACAAATTATAACATAAACAAATTCGTGCATATATATATATATATATAAGAGGAAAAGGGGAAAAAGATCGTGCATTGTTATTCTAACTCAAGGCTTTTATTAGTAAATTAATTGCACCCCTACCCAAAACTATTGACGAAATAAAAATATATTCATCTAAAATATTAATAAGGAATAATTTAACAACAAACGAATTTTAAACGCCCATAAATTAATTATTTCTTCTTTTTGTTTTGCAATGTAATAATCGTTCATTATAACGTAAAATATACCACAGAAATATGACTGCCACTGAAATCTAATTACAAATTTTATACAATTATGAGGTTTAAAAGATTACTTAATTGGAAATGTTCATTTACACTTAACTAAAATTCACTGTAATATAAAATCTGAAAGCCTTCAGATTTTTATTTATTTATTTATTGACATTTTAGTTTTGTTTTACACTTAATTAAAATTCACTGTAATATAAAATCTGAAAGCTTTCAGATTTTTATTTATTTATTTATTGACATTTTAGCTTTGTCAAATAGTTATACTAGCAAAAACTATAAATTTTATACTAATTATTGCTTTATTTATCATATGAAAATTTTATTTAAATTTGAAATTTTAATAATGGGAGTTTGCATACTACCAGCTCATTATGAAAAGGTATATAAGCTAAAAAATGTGCGCAGAAACTTTCTAAATTTAATTTGCTGCAGTCCCATAAATATTTATCTTAATTTGCGCATTTCTGATTTCTAGCCTAAACCTACTAACCACTTATACTATATCTCTTCAGAGTGCATCATTTAAAGATTATTCTATGTCATATGATTTTTTATATAAAGCTCACGACATATGCTCTTACATAAGGGCTTCAGTTAACAATGATTTCTATTTAAACCGAAACTTTTTATTAATTAAAGGGATTAAATATGAACTGAAACTAAATCATTCCAAACCCATATTTTATCTTGGATATGTCGTAGTCGCTCTTCTCTTCTTTCGCTAGATTTGCTGTCGCTGCTTCTCTTCTTACCTTAATGTCAACAAAAATGGAAAGTGTTTTTACAACTGGGAGCGTTTATTCAAAGTTTATCAGTGATGCATGACACTTTTTCGTTCAAGAAAATAAATAAATATTAAAATAGAGCATTACAGCAATTACCATTATGCATCAAACTTATCATTAACAGCTATGTCACCAACATTTCTCTTCAACGTACAAATCATTTCATGCATATTAAAATTTCCACTCAAATCCAAAGTTACGCCGATTAAAACTGAGTATAAAAGATTGAAGAAGTATTTACAGAAATAAAAATGTTTTGTACATTAACGGATACACAGAGATTTTTAACAGAAATATTTTTCAGATTCTGCGATTACATACTTATGGTGGTGTGGTGGTGTATTCAATTATGGCAAAGCACACTAGGGCTATCTGCCTAAGGGGAGGGATGCCTTTCGTGGAGGACTTTCTAAGGGAAACTGGCTCGTATACACGTTACACATGGGGAAAACCACGAAAACGCCCATGCAGCCAGCCCGTTCGCGGGATTCGAACCTCGGACCGAACTACCAGTGTTCAGCGTCTTTACCGCTCGGCCGCTGGTGGGCCCCCATACTTATGAATCATATGATATTAACAAATGTTGCTTTATTAGTAACATAAAAAGTGTACTGCACTGCTTACCATGCAATAACAGCTTCGTAACCAACCTATGAATATTATTTTATACATTTTGTAATTCTATATACTATATTAGTTTATACAGTTTTGGTCATCCCAGCTCATAAACAGTATTCTGCCATTACAAATACAATTCATCAAAACAGCAAAGCGAATTACACTAATTTATAAAAGATACGAAACTTTGAAACGTGCTTTGCAAGTATTAACATTGTGATGCCAGTCTCAGAGATATTTTCTTTTAATCTAAGACCTTGCAAAACAGCGTTATACGAATTTGCCCGATGTTGAAGATTTGACTAATCATGTTAATATATATTAATACGCTTTACCTAGGGTGATATAAATTCCAGCTTGGTCTACTATTTGTTTACTATGCATAAAATTTTAGCATTTCGCAGTCCGTGTAACTGTGGATTCTACTTCAGTGCAGTTATTAATAGCATGTTTAATTAAATGAAGATTTTATGACATTGAAAATTTTATCACAAATACATAGCTTAATGTTACGTGTATATTTATTATGCACTTCCCATATTTTAGTGAATCCTTCTGTGTGCAGGTAATGCCAAACTAGCAAGAATCTAT